AGCATTCTCACCTGGCTGTTGATAAAGTGTCTGGAGTATTTTATTGTCTTAAATGTCTCCTTTCCTTAAAATACTTTTGTTCTAAAGGATCATACTCGATTTTAAGAAGCTGCTATTCACTGACTGTTATGGATAGAAAACTCCTGTGAGACTTTGACCTTCCAACTTCACACTACAGCTGCAGAATTTTCACCAAGCTGAAGGTTACAAATAAAGCCYTAATTCCATTTTCTGTTCAATAAGATTAACAAAAGAGCAAAGGAATATAGCTTCCAGTGCATGCACCATAACATGTACCATCAAAAGCAAACTAAAAGCTCCACAATTTCATTTTGCTCACTTACAAACTCTTCAGGAAGAACAAAGGTAATTTTCAAGATTAACATCTAGCTACACCTTGTGAAATTTTTGCCTTTAACTTCTGTATCAGAAGTTTTTTTTAAAAAATCTATTATAACTGGCTTTCTAAAGTCATACCCAAAAGTTTGGGAGGTATTTTTTCACTTGTGTACTGATTGAATTGCAGAGACATGCAGTTAAAGCAGCAGCTTGCATAATTAGRCAAACAAGAAATTTCTCATTAGAAGTCTCTCCTTAGAAAGAGAAATAAAATCTATTGATGCAGTTGCTATCTCTAGGTATCTATGTGCCTTCTAAACTCCATTTTCTAAGAAGACAAGTTAATGGATGACATGAATTTTACAATAGGAAAAGCAGTCCCATGGCAGCYGAACAACATCTGTATTACACATATTGCCAAAATGGACGGTGCAGAAGGAGCATTAAAACACACAACAGACTCAGATAATTCTGTGGCTCCCAAAGTGAAATTTGCCTTTCTCTCTCATTCTCTATCTACTATTTGTTTAGAAGAGGAAAAGTGAATTATGTGATTCTAAGGTCTTATGCCAAAAAGTGACCCTTTTGCCTAAAGTTTCCTACATATAATTTTTGTACTGGAATACTCAAATAGAATGATTTTTTTCTGATCCAGCCTTATTCTGCAATCAGACATTGAATGCTGTGTTTGTATCACAAAATCTGCTGCTACATGAAATTCAGTAAGACATGAAGCACTAGGTAAGGACAGCTCAGRAAGGATTTGCTCAGTATCAAAGTGAACAAATGGAGCTGATCCCTGCCCAAGGGCTCTCACAGGGATTTACCCCCAAGCCCCATCTGCAGTTCTTGAACTGGACATTCAGGAAAACTAGGAAGGCCTCTTTAAAGTGAGTCTTGCTAGTTCTGCTGTTCCCTCGAGGACATAAAAATCTCATCCCTGTAGGAATTGTGTGGACAGCCTTCCCTCTGCCTTTAATGTGAATAAAATTATTTTCTGCTGGRTGCACTAGAGTATATTTCTGAAAGGTCAGGAAGGATACTTTTGAACTCCTAATACTGTAAACATATCTGAAGATTTTTAGACCTTTAATGAGACAACAATACATAATTATAAAAAAGATTTATTTCTTACCCTTAGAAAAAGCACCACTCCTATATAAATATGGTTTTCTTGATTTAATTAAAAGTGTCTGASAACTTTACCCAAGCAATGTCCTATTTTATTCAGAAGAATTTTATCAATTAAACTTACAAAATTGTTACCATGTCTATTAGTCTATTTTTACCAGTTTGTACAGTCTTAAAGACTTAGCAAATACATGTTCCACATGGTACCTACATGCATGTACACACACAAACCCTGATGGAAACTTGGATAAAAGTAGCTACTAAAGCACATCCTTTCTAAGCCTTCCTGTGATCCTGTAGCATGAATGTGAACAACACCAGTTGGGCTCCACTTAAAGTACTGTGGTATTCAGAAAAATATTCTGTGGCTGGATAAACTACGAGCTGATTTTGTGCATTAATAAAAATACAGAATATTATGCTAGCACAAAAATAAAAAAAAGTGCTTTGATGAATACAAACTAAAAGACATTAAATATTAATTTTGGGAAAAAATAAAAATTTAATCACTTTAAAAGAAAAATAAAAATTTAATCACTTTAAAAGTATTAGCTGAATGATCTAAACAAATGAAAAAAAAAAACCCAAAACCAAAATAAGAAGCAATTAGTATCTGGAGATAGTTTTTAAAACTTTTACAAATTCAGCCAAATATTTAAGGTTGTAAAACTGGATCCTAAACAGAAAACTAAGTGGAAACTATTAGAAGCTACTGTTACAACAGCCATAGGAATAAAAACTCATTAATAGTGGCACCCTGGTGGAGGCACAGCAGATGCAACAGAGCAGATGCCTCTGATTTGGAATGTCAGCACACGGAAACAAATGTGCTCTATAAAAATGGGTAATACAGAAATGAAAGTTATAATTAAACTACTTTCAAAATAAATGAAATAGAAATCTATCCAATCCCCRTTAGGTCACCAAAAGTACAAGCAAATGATTTAGGGAGTCAGTTAAACGAAAAGTTTCAGGGTTTTTTTTTTTTTTTTAATAAACAACTTCTTTTGCATGTAATTTTTCTCTACCACCACTTTTCTGTGCTCTGTAAAGGCACAATAAAGTATTCTCCAGAACATTACAGAACACATTTCAATCRAGAAATTTTGTTTAAATATAAATGTAACTCCACATGAGCAGGTCAACAGCGAAGGACCATTGACATCCATCGTTAAACAAACATACCTTTAAATCCCAAAAGAGCTTTACTTTTTCTTCCATATACCTATGAATGCCAACACAGTGCTACTTGGTGATAGCACAGTAATGCAGGATAATGAGTAATGAGATACAGTCACCCAACCTACCTAGAGTTTGTTAGAAAGTGATGCTATTCACTTTTAACAATCTTTCCACATTTGCGGACAGCAGCTGCTCAAAAGAAAAATCCAATTTTCAGGTTCCTAGCTTTTATGATTTCCTTACACAAAATGGGTGTTGAGGTATGGAACAAATTGTTCGAGTCAGCAACTGAAATAACTTGCATAAAAATTGCTAAAAAATAAACTGAAAAAACTGAAGCAGGTGAATTGTGACAAATTCTGGGTGTGACTGCAAAGGTTTGAGACTGAGCATTAAAATATTTTCTAGTTTTATAATGTACAGCACTCTACAGCCTGCATATTTGCCACTCTGGCCATGCTAGTTTCTATAAAAGTAGGATCTTTAAATCTATCCAATTTTTTTTTTTTTTCTTTTTTTTTCCTGACCTTATGGCAAGTGTTGTTAAAATGGAATAGATGAATTCCAGGGTGGTACCAACACTTACACACTCAACTAATCATTTACTAATGCTGATTATAAGCTTTCACTCTTTAATATCTGAAGCAAATTTTCTCACACCAAAGCCAGGACTTTTCATCTCCTTTTGCTGAATTTAAACATATAAACAATGGTTAAGGTGTTATTTACTGTCCTCCCAGTCAAAAATATTTTGTTATCTCTTTTATACTAAGTATAAGAATGCTAATAGTGAGTGATAGAAAAAAAAAATTACATTTGGGMAAAATGGTGATTTAGAAAAGATCTTTCATGTCAAGAACAAACTGGAAGCACTTTTTGTCATTAACAACTCATGACTGAAGAATAAGATTTCACAACTGTTTGAGATGATTTGTTTTGACTCACTCCCATCCTTTAATGAAATGAACTACTGAACCAAAAGAGCACAAATGGATGMTTAATATGAGATTGTAAGGGAGAAGGAAGTTATATTTTTTATCCTATGAAGCTATTTGCTCTTCTGAACTAAGTCACCATGATATCCTCAGAAAAAGCACAATTCCATTAAATAGTTGTTGAAGAAATTATTTGCTCATCTTTTGAAAAACTTTAGACTCTAAACCTTAAATTTGAACAAAAAAGTGAACCAGTAACTTCCAAAATGTATAATCAAGACAACTTTTACTTAAAGCAA